GCCCGAAGCGTTTTGTTCCTTGACCTCAGCAATGCACGCTCCCCAGGATCTCAGCGCCTGCTGATGTTATCAGCCTCAAACGCCTCCTGTCGCTCAGGGCACCTCCAGCATCACCACCCAGCCGTTGCAGTGTGACGGCTGCTCTCGGTGCTGTGCAACGAAGCCGTGCACGCAGCAGCAAACCCAAGGTAAGAAAGCATCCCATACCTGCCCAGACAGACAAACCTCGCCTCTGAGAACACCGGGTTGAATCCCCCTGGGCACAGAGCTCATTCCTCGTTCTCTATGTAGGATGCTTCGGGATTCACTGCTTGCTCTCCTCCCCGCCTCACCCATAAACATCCCAGCTACGTGGAAAACAACAGCAATAAGAACGGAAAAACAACGCCTGAGCCTCCCCTGCAAGATCCCAGCTCCGCATTCCTCTGTTCCTTCCTCCAGGCCACGTTCAAAGCTTGGATAAACAGAACTGGGCACGAGAAAACCTCCAAACCTCCAACCCCCCTCACAACGAGAGGCACCGAGAGCAGCACATCCAGCACAGAGCAGCACATCCAGCACGGCGCCGCCGGAACAGAGCTCGGCTCCGAGCACGCGGGGACCCCCGGCAGCCCAGCGCGGAGCCCTGCGGGGACGCACCGTGCCGACCTGAGGGGACACGCAGCTCCCCGCCCCGCAGCACGGCGATGCGACGGAGCTGCTCGGCCTCCGGTTCGCTCCGCACGCCGAATTTCACCCCGCTGCCCTTCGGGCCGCCCCAGGGCAGCGCTCACGGCTCAGCCCATCATTCCAGGCAGCTCAACGCGATGCAGCACGGAGCGAACCCCGACAAGCCGGTACCTTTTTGGGCGCTTTGGTGACGGTGGCCATGAAGGAAAACTTCTCGGCGTCCTCCGCTTCCTTGGCCTGCTTCGCCTCCTCGCCGCCGGCGGGCTCCGGGACCGACATCGTGCGGCGGGGCGGAGCGGAGGGCGGGGAGGGGAAGGGCAGGCTCGGCTCGGCTCCGTTCGGTTCGGCTCGGCTCCGTTCGGTTCGGTTCGGCTCGGCTCGGCTCGGCTCGGCTCGGCTCCGTCAGCGCCGGTTCGCAGCGCTCTGCGGCGGACACTGCGGGCGCCGCGCGAGGCGCCGGGGGCGTCTCTGCTGTGACGTCAGCGCGTGGTGACGTCATCACGCGCCCGCCGGAGAAGCGAAGCGGGGAGACGGCGGAGAGAAAAGGTGGGGGGGGGAACGGCGCTATGGCGCCCCCTGGTGGTAGAATGGGGGAACGGACCGCCGCGGGAGGACTTCGGGAAAGTGGGAGGGGGCTGAGGGGGGGAGCGTGGGGAAGAGTGATGGTAGATAGAGAGATAGAGAGAGAGATAGAGAGAGGGATGGATGGATGGATGGATGGATGGATGGATGGATGGATGGATGGA